AACTCCTGGGCTTAGGTGATTCTCTTGCCTCAGCCTCCCGAGCAGCTGGGACTACAGGCGCCTGCCACAACGCCCGGCTATTTTTTGTTGCAGTTCAGCCAGAGTTGGGTTTGAACCCACCACCCTCAGTATATGGAGACGGCGCCCTACCCACTGTGCCATAGGTGCTGTCCCCCTGAATACTTTTGATGTATTTATTTTTTCCTTTGGTTCGTTGAAATATAGTTTGCATATGATAAAGTTCATTAGTTTAAAGTACAATTCAGCATGAGCAAGACCAAGATCCCTATCTTAACTAAAAATAGAAAAACTATTTGGACATTGTGGTGGGCACCTATAGTCCCAGCTACTCCGGAGGCTGAGACAGGAGTTTGGCTTGAGCCCAGGAGTTTGAGGTTACTGTGAGCTGCGAATCCATGGCATTCTAGCCTGGGGCAACAGAGTGAGACTGTCTCTAAAAATAAATAAATAAAAAAAAATAGAGTGCACAATTCAGTGGTTTTGGCTATATTTGCAGAGTTGTGCAATCATTACCACTGTCTAATTCTGGAACATTTTCATCACTCCAAAAAGGAATCTTGTACCCATTAAAAGTCACCATCCATCTCCCAGTCCAAGTCCACCATTAAATTACTTTCTGTCTCTATGGCTTTACCTATTCTCATTTCGTATAAATTATGTAATATGTAGTCTTTTGTTTCTGGCTTCTTTAAATTAGCCTCATATTTTTAAGGTTCATCTTTCAAGTATATATCACTGCCTCATTCCTCCTTATGGTTGAATAATATTCCAGTATATAGATAGACCATATTTTGTTTGCCCATTTTTCAGTAGATGGATATTTGGGTTGTCTGCTTTTTAACTATTATAAATAAGCTGCTACATTTCTGCACAGATTTTTGTGTGGACATATGTTTCTAATTCTCTTGAATAGATGCCTAGTAGTGAAATTGGTAGGTCGTATGGTAATTCTGTATTTAACTTTTTGAGTAACTCCCCAAAACTTTTTTTTTCTTTTGAGGCAGAGTCTCACTTTGTCACCTATAGTAGAGTACCATGGCATTACAGTTTACAGCAACCTCAAACCATGGGCTCAAGTGATTGTCTTGCCTCAGCCTCCCAAGTAGCTGGGCCTATAGGCACGCACCACAGCGCCTGGCTATTTTTGGAAATGGAGTGGTTTTTTTTTTTTTTTTTTTGAGACAGAGTCTTACTTTGTCACCCTCGGTAGAGTGCCATGGAGTAATAGCTCACAGCAACCTCCAACTCTTAGGCTCAGGAGATTCCCTTGCTTCAGCTTCCCTAGTAGCTGGGACTACAGGCACCTATCACAGTGTGGATACAGAATTTTTTTTTTTTTTAATTAAATCATAGCTGTGGGGCAGTGCCTATGGCTCAAATGAGTATGGCGCTGGCCCCATATGCTGGAGGTGGCGGGTTCAAACCCAACCCCAGCCAAAAAACTGCAAAAAAAAAAAAAAAAGTTGTAGCTTTGTACATTAAGAGACGAGGTCTTGCTCTTACTCAATCTGGTCTCAAACTCCTGAGCTCAAGCAATCCATCTCCCTTGGCCTCCTAGAGTGCTAGGATTACAGGCGTGAGCCACCATGCCTAGTCCTAACTACCAAACATTTCCACAGTTTTACCTCTACTAGCAGTGAGTGTATTGTGTATTCTTCCTTTTTCTTTCTTTCTTTCTTTTTTTTTTCTTTGCAGTTTTTAGCCAGAGCTGGGTTTGAACCCGCCACCTCCAGCATATGGGGGCGGTGCCCTACTCCTTTGAGCCACAGGTGCCACCCCTACTTTCTCTTTCTTTTCTTTCCCTCCTTCTCTCCCTACCTTCCCTTCCCTTTCTTTCTTCCTTTTCTTTTTCTTTTTTGAGACAAAGATTTACTTTGTTGTCCTCTGTAGAGTGTAGTGGTGTCATAGCAACCTTAGTTCTTGGGCTCAAGTGATTCTCTTGCCTCAGCCTCCTGAGTAGTTGGGACTAACGGACTCTATCACAATGCCCAGCTATTTTTTAGAGATGGGGTCTTGGTCTTGCTCAGGCTGGTCTTGAACTCATGAGCTCAAGTGATCCACCCACCTTAACCTCCCAGAGTGCTAGGATTACAGGCATGAGACACTGTGTCTGGCTTGCTTCTTTCTTTCTTGATAGTGTTTTACTGTTTCCTGGCCTAGAGCACAGTTTGTTATTTTTTTGTTTGTTTTTAGAGACAGAGTCTCACTTTATCACCCTCAGTATCGTGCTGTGGCATCACAGCTCACAGCAACCTCCAGCTCTTGGGCTTAAGGTGATTCTCTTGTCTCAGCCTCCCAAGTAGCTGGGACTACAGGTGCCTGCCACAAGACCGGGCTATTTTTTATTGCAGTTTGGCTGGGGACAGGTTTGAACCCACCACCCTCCATATATGGGGCCGGTGCGCTGCTCACTGAGCCACAGGCGCTACCTGCAGTTTGTTATTGTTGTCATTGCTGGTTTAGCAGGCCCTGGCCAGTTTTGAGCCTACCAGTCCTGGTGCATGTGGCCAGGGCCCTAATCACTGAGCTGTGGGCACCTAGCCAACTTTTAAAAATTTTTTTAACAGTCTGAAATGAGGCATGTCAGGGAGCTCTTGGGGAAGTTTCTGCTTTGTCACCTTACTCCTGTCCCCAGTGCCAGCCCACTCTTTAAGGATTGTTCTCTTGATTTTAAATCAATTCCTAAAAGCTATCAATAGATAGATCTTGTCAGTGTCCCTGTCTGTGGTTCTTCTGCCTACAGGCTTTCCCACATCAAGATGCAGAAGCCCAGGCTCGGTGCCTGTGGCTCAAGTGGCTGAGGCACCAGCCACATACACCTAAGGTGCTGAGTTCAAATCCAGCCTGGGCCTGCCAAACAACAACGATGGCTGCAACCAAAAAATAGCCAGGCGTTGTGGTGGGCACCTATGGTCCCAGCTACTTGGGAGGCGGAGGCAGGAGACTCGCTTAAGCCCAGGAGTGGGAAGTTGCTGTGAGCTGTGATGCCATAGCACTCTACTCAGGGTGACAGTTTGAGGCTCTGTCTCAAAAAAAAAAAAAAAAAAAAAGATGCAGAAGTCCAAAATCTCTGCCCGGTGTCTTTGTAGAGCTAGAGTCAGGTGCAGTGGCTCACATTCGTAATCTCACAACTTTGGGAGGCCGAGGTGGGAGAATGGCTTCAGGTCAGGAGTTCAAGACTAGCCTGGGCAACAAAGCAGGACCCTGTCTCTGGCAAAGAATCAAATAATGAGCCCAGTGTGGTGGCACCAGCTCAGCTATTTGGGAACCTGAGGGGGGAGGATCTCTTGAGGCCAAGAGTTCACTACCTCAGTGATCTATGATGCCACCAGTACCTTCCAGCCTAGGTGACAGAATAAGACCTTGTCCATGGAAAAAAAAAAGTGGAAAAAATTGGGGGGGGGGTATGTACACACCTATAGTCTCAGCTACTTGGAAGATTAAGGCAAGAAGGAGCCCAGGAGTTGGAGGCTGCAGTGAGCTCTGATTGGACCAGTGCACTGCAGCAAGACCATTTCTCTAAAAAGTAAATGGAGATGGCAAGACTATTTCTCTAAAAGTAAATAAATGGAGCTAGTTATTCTCCCTGTGATAGCTGGTAGTGGACACTAAGCTTAATAGGCCGAGGACCCTCATGCCTGACAGACCCAGGGTCCTCTCTTCTCAAAGCCCATCTTAAAATGCAGCTTATGATCTAGAAATTAATGATACAGAGAGTATAGAATAACTCTGCTCTTTTTTTCCTCTGTTTGCCTGCAGAGAAAAGAAATCCTGGAAATGCAATACGGAATACCATGAAGTCTGAAGAACAGAAGATCAAAGAGGTCAGGAGAGGTCCCCTGGCACCTTTTCCAAACCAAAAGTCTGAAGCAGCAGAGCCTCCAAAAACTCCAACCTCGTCTTGTGAGTCTACCAATGCAGCAGTTGCCAAGCAAGCTCTGAAAAAGTCCATCAAGGGCAAACCGACCCCTCGGAAAAAGTGAGTGTGCTCAGGTGGGGTGAAGGGGTTCACCTCTCAGCTTCTCTCATGCTAAGCTCTCAGATTCCTTAAGACTTTACCAGGGATGCTGTTATGTATCAGCATCTCAGTTTGGTATGAGTCCAGAATTCAAAAGCCTTCCTTCAGCTTTCCTTCCTTGCCCCCTTATCCAGAGTAAGCTTCCTATTTTTATTGTTGTTGTTTTCTTTAAAATTAAGAGCCTAGCTCACAACAACTTCCAACTCCTGGGCTCAAGCATTCCTTCTGCCACAGCCTCCTGAGTAGCTGGGACTACAGGTGCCTGCCATCATGCCCAGCTAACTTTTCTGTTTTTAGTAGAGATGGGGTCTTACTCTTGCTCAGGTTGATCTTGAACTCCTGAGCTCAAGCCAGGCATCCTCCTGCCTTGGCCTCCCAGAGTGCTAGAATTATAGAAGTGAGCTACTGTGGTGGGTGCCTGTAGTCCCAGCTACTCGGGAGGCTAAGGCAAGAGAATTGCCTAAGCACAAGAGCTAGAGGTTGCTGTGAGCTGTGACGCCACAGCACTCTACCAAGGGCGATAAAGTGAGACTCTTTCTCTAAAAAAAAAAAAGTGAGCTACTGCACCAGCCAGAGAGTAAGCATCCTATCTTTCTGTGTTTGAAACGCTCTCTGAGGGCTTCAAGGGCTTGTGAGCTGAGTGACCATCAAACTCCAGTGAACAGAGGTGTTTAAATGACATTGTTTATAGGAGCTGCCTTCTAGCAGTTATGGGCCTCCTAAAAGGGAGGATAGCTTTCAGTCCTAATATTTTTTTCTCTTCACTTCTTACCCAGAACTCAAGGAAAAACACAACAGAATCGCAAACTCACAGATTTCTACCCTGTCCGAAGGAGCTCCAGGAAGAGCAAAGCTGAGCTGCAGGTAGTCACATGGTGGTTTTGATTCCAGCTCTTGGAGGAGCGGGGTTGCCCAGTGGCAGTACTGGGTTTGCTGGTCTCAAACTCCAGCCCTTAATTGATCCTCCCATCTTGGCCTCCTAGAGTGCTGATATTATAGACATGAGCCACTGCGCCTGGCCTGCTCTGCGTTTTTGATGGGATCACTATAAGGCTTGGTTATAACACTTTTGTGAGGGAGCTTTGGACCTTGTAGCATGTGCATGGGAAGCCAGGCACCACTGTGATGGTGGCTTTTTCAGGATTTGTTGGCAGGGCCATTTGGAGCCTAGGACTATGGGGAAAGCCACAGAACCTGGGACGCCTCCCAGTGGGTTGGAGCCATAGCGCCCACACAGGCAGCCTGTGCTGAGTTTCTACCAGGCTGCTGTGGGAGGCAAGGTGGGGGCAGCTGGCTTTGCCTCTCTAATGAGAAACAAAGGCTTATCTGTCGGGAAGAACGAAGGCTGCAGCAGGCCAGGGCGTGGGTCTGCTCAGTCTTGCAGCAGAGGAACAGAGGAAAGACACGTTTAGGTCCCCAAAGCGTGGTCTGCAGGCATAATAAAACTTGCTCTGTTTCTGGATGAAGAACCAGAAAAGAAGTCTGTTGTCTGGAAGTTTCCATGTTGTGGCTCAAAGTGGTAAGGAGCAGTGGCTTGGAGCCACTTACTAGTTACATAACCTCAGGCCAGTCACTTAACATCTCTGCCTCTGCTCTCCTGTCTGTGAGGTGCTATGATGATGTAGCACCTGACGGGTGGATTAAATAAACCTGTTCACAAGTGTAGAATCCTTAGAACCATGTCTGGCACACAGCAAGTGCTAGCTATTGTTATCGTCATTGTTGCTTCCCCAGTGTTGTTGCTCCCTAGGGTTCCCCTCTGCTCTCCATCTCCCCAGCTGCCATCCATAGGAACATACAGGGCAGAGGCCATGCAGACCTCTGCCACTGTGTTTGCAGAGGACCGAGCTGTGCAGCAGTCCATCAATATTTGATGCAGGGAGGTGTGGATTTGCCTTTCTGTAAAGAAACCCAGGGCGTGACCAGGTCCTTCCCACTCAGGGTCACTTGGGGCGGCCCCTCTGTTCTCTGTCGCCCCCACAGCAACTACCAAGCTTGGGAGCAGTACCTAGGATTGCCTCCTACAGAGAGCTGGGGACCTTGGCTTGAGCAGTTTTAGCATTTCAACTCTTACATAAACTCCTTGAGCATTTTTTTTATATTGAATGTACAGATAGACAGTGGTCCAGTATTATTTCCCCTTCTTTTTTTTTTTTTTTTTTTTTTTGAGACAGAGCCTCAAGCTGTCCCCCTGGGCAGAGTG